ATTCTATTCATCTCGTTGATTCACTTTTAAGTGGTAGAATGATGTTGGAGCTATAAGGAAAGATCGTGCTACAAATGAATAGTATCCAGCAACATTCTATTCATCTCTGTGATTCGCTTCGAAGTGGTAGAATATTGTTGAACCTGTTGTTATAGATCGTGTAGCAAGTGAATAGGAATCACAAAGATTCGATGCATCTGTTTGATTCGATTCCAAGTGGTAGAATGATATTGAACGTATAAGAAATCTGATATGACTGATGAATAGTATTTAGAAGCATTCTATTCATGTCTTCGATATACTTCGAAGCAGTAGAATGATGTTGAATCTATGATTGAACATCGTATGACAATTGAATTGTATTTAGGAGCATTGCATTCTTCTCTGTCATTCGCTTCGGAATATGATAATGATGTTGAAGCTATGAGTGAATATCGTATGAGAAATGAATAGTATTTAGGAGCATTCTATTCATCTCGATGATTCCCTTCGAAGTGGTAAGATAATGTTGAATCTATGAGTAAACATCGTATGATAAAGGAATAGTATTGAGTAGCATTCTATTCATCTCGTTGATTCACTTTTAAGTGGTAGAATGATGTTGAACGTAGGAGTAATGATCATGTGACAAATGAATATTATTCACAAAATTTATATTCATGGCTGTGATTCGCTTGGAAGTAGTAGAATGATGTTGGAGCTATAAGGAAAGATCGTGTTAGAAATTAATAGTATCCAACAGCATTGTATTCATCACTGTGATTCGTGTCGAAGTGGTAGAATATTGTTGAACCTGTTGTTATAGATCGTGTGGCAAGAGAATAGGAATCACAAAGATTCTGTGCATCTGTTTGATTCGATTCCAAGTGGTCGAATGATATTGAACGTATAAGAAATCTGATATGACTGATGAATAGTATTCAGGAGCATTCTATTCATGTCTTCGATATGCTTCGAAGCAGTAGAATGATGTTGAATCTTTGATTGAACATCGTATGACAATTGAATACTAATTATCAACATTGTATTCCGTTTACATGTGTCTTTTGGGTCGAGGGTTGAGAAGAAATGGATGGGGAAATGAAGAACAGTATAGATTAATGATCTCTACGTTTTTCTCTCAGCGGGTGGATGAAGTTACGATGAGCAAGCCGATGGACCAAACCTTCATCATCGTGCTGCAGGTATTTTGGGGCTGAGCTGGCCGTGGTAAAGACGACCAACGAAAGAATCAGAGTTAGCTTGATGTGCATGATTTGAAGTTGGAAGAATCGACGGCTGTTGATTTTAGGTAGATAGGTAGGTATATATGTTTAGTAGTGATATGTATTGTGCTTTGATGTATTTTGTGTTTTTATACTTACTTCAGATGAGAGATATTTTTTGTCGTTCTGATGGCTTAATATGTACAGACTGATCATTCATCCGTTAATTAGAAAGTAGGGTTTGCTTTCTCTTGCTAAAGATGATGATCAGAAAAAAATAGCACACGTCATTGTATTGGTACTTTTATATTACGTTTGCCTTTGGTGATGGCGTTTGTTTTAGGGATTTGCACATAGGATTATTGCGTGTTAGAAATCTAGAATGGTTGATTGTATCAGAGATGTGCACGGGGCGTGACGTAACGCCCCGTAATGCCCCGTACGCCCCGTGCAATAGGGGTGAAAATGGATACGTAATATTTGAATTAGCTATTCACATATTACGTACCCATTTTCACCCCTATCGCACGGGGCGTACGGGGCGTTACGTCACGCCCCGTAATGCCCCGTGCACATCTCTGGATTGTATATTGCAAGAATGATAAGTTTTATTTTTGTACTGTGATAACGAGTTTATTTTTGTTTGTTCTGTTCTTCACTAAAATGTATAAACGTATTTGAAAAGGAGAATGAGAAAAAGTATGGATTGATTTTTTTTCGCTACCGTATAGATACCTGTAGGAAGAATGTAAAATAGGTATCACTCTTGTTGATGATATGAGTCAGCGTAAATGAATCACTTGAAATTTGAACTTAATAGTTAATGACAATAATGCAGATTTCTTGTTTTTGTTTATAATATAAAAGAGAAATTTTCGACTTTAATCGGCCATTGTCAAACTTAAAACTATGACTTTGGACTCTGTGGTATCAAGCTGAATAGTGCTCTATGCGAAAGATAAAAACGAACGACACTAGATTAACAATATATAAAAATGTTTATTGAGAATGGAAGACCTGTTGATGCTATGCGCATCAGCTTCTATTCAGCTCATTAACCATGTAAGACGATGGCCTGAGAAAATGAGAGAAAGAGGATGAATAGTCAAAAAATAAGAATGGTTTTCGGCTTTCAAATAAAAACAAATAGTCAATAGAATGTATATTTTTTTTTCCTTCAAATAATCAATAGATTATCATCGATCAAACGCATAATTTATCAACAGAGACTACTGTTCAAGGCAGTCACTCAACAAAAATTATCCAGTAAGTGAGCTTTCTCATTGCGAATGTGAATTTCTTTTACTTTTTTTTTGCGTTCATCTCTTTTTATAATATATATTCTTTTTTGCTTCATTTTTTACATATTTATTCATCATTCAAGAATAATAAAATTTATCTATCAAAAATATTCTTTATTTTATGCATTTAAATAAATTTCGAAGCTGACTTGTTGAACAACAACACTGTAACAAAGAATTGAAGTAGAAAAAACATTTGTGTGTATGTGCTTCTTTTGCTGTAATATCATCCTTTCATATAAGAAGGCAGCAGTCATCGGATCCCACTAGAATATTGAGTGATATTATCAATACAAGATGAAGTTGTGACTCTTCACAACAGTGCTTTATTCCTTTTACATTTGTTGATCGTGAATGATAGAAATATTGAAGACAAATATCTGTTCTACTGCAGAAATCAATGAAGCGTGCGGCGTATGTATCTGTCTTCACAATACTATGTAGATTATGCTCTATCGACAGAGCTGACGCTCAAAAAAAATGCTGATCACTCGTCCATGACCGATGGAGAGTAGTTGTGTGAAGAGAGAAGAGAAAGAATCTAGTATCATGGTAGTAGCAAGTATGTGATAAAAAAAAAAGAATAATAAGTGACTGACACATGTGCAACTTTTGTCCAATATTAATGAGAGAGAAAAAGACAAAATAATGACTCACCTCTCTCTCCATTTGCATACACATATTAAGAAGATCTCAGAAGTTCTGAAATCATTTTAAAACTCATCATTGGTGTATATAATAAGAGTAAATATTTTGAAAATTTCATAAATTATTTTACCAAATTAGTACTAAAATAACTACGATGTTTAATACTAGTCGCTTCTACTATAACAAAGAAACTAGAACAATATTATCATGCTTTATTTTATCGTTTATTATATAGCTATATGATGATAAAAATGTATTACAATACATCACTAAATGGAATAAATAAAGAAATTCGAAATCAATATGAAACGATGTAAAATAAAATAAAAATATGATAGTTCGATGTTTTTTTCTTGTAGTATTATCATCATCAGATAGATATTGAACAATTAAATACAATAATAAATAATTTAACTATTTCATCATTTATATCCAATCGATGAAGACAAAAAAGAAAGAAAAAAAGCAAAAATGAAAAAAGAAATACGTTGAATCATAGATATTGCTAAAATAGAACATTAAAGAAAAAAAAAGAGAAATGTAAGAATTATAGAGATTACATAGAGAAGCAATTGGACTTATTATCAGATGGAATGTATATTATTTTTTGTTCATTTTACCATTGACAAAAAATTCGAGCATATTTTCGTGTTTTGTATTTGTTAAAATACATATAAAATCTTCGCAGTTGCATCTAAATGGAAATAGAAAAATCAATGAAATTATTTTTTTTAAAAAAGTTTCTAGTTAATTAGATACAAACTATTCATCAACATCAATATCAGCTTTATGTATTAATTCGCGAACTTCTTCTGTATATGACATGTTTCATACATACCATAGTCTTTTTCTTTATTATTTGTTTTTTTAAAATTTTGTGCTACTTTGACAAATATATCAAAAGTCAATTGCATGACTAATTTGTTGTTGAATTTCTTGTAAATCAGTTTCTCATGGTGATAAAACACATAAATGAAGAGTAATACTTAAAATTGATAAAGAGGTATTGTCATTGTTTCATCAAAATAAAACAAACGTTTTCATATCGAATTCTTATGCTGCAATCATGTATATTCTTATGATCTTTATTAAAAGGTAAAAATGCTTTATAATATTGGCGCATTTTATCAAAACCACTGGATCTTGTTCGAGTTTTTATTTTCATCAGATCAAAATAAACATGACATAATTCTAAATGATGAATAAAGAAACAACAAATAAATAAATATAAGTTTTTTCTTAACCAGAAGAAAAAAACAAGAAAAAAAAAGAATTATTTTTACCTTGTTGATTTTGATGATTACTTAAATATTGTAATTTCTATAATAATATAATTTTCTTTTTTTCTCACTTTTACTTATATAACTATACCAGGCTTCGAGTTCAACAATTGATGTTTGTATGTTAGCTAATTATTTTTCAAGATCATCAAGTTTAAATAATATCTTCATAATCTACGTGAATTTTTTTCTGTATAATTTACAAAAGCTTTACATATGATACATATACGCAATTACTTCAATCGATTCTTTTAAATAACCAAAAGAAATTATTTCTTGATCAAGTTTTTTATTCAATTCAATAAGTTTGTTTTTATCATTAACAATAAGTAATTCAGCAGCAGATACTAGATCAATAAAAAAAAGAATATTATAATATGTTATTTTTAAAAATCTACAAACCATTATCTTGAATCGACAGTGTTTTTTCCAATTGATTTGCAGTTTCAGTTCGAAATTCATCAAGATACGTTCTAGTCTAATAATAAATAACATCTTTTTCCCTTGAAGCATTCAGCAAAAAAAAAAGAAAAATTATACATAAGCATGTAATAATCCGTTCGAACAGCCATTATTAAATTAGCACATGATTCACTTATTTTTATCATTAAAGAAAACAACCAAATTACTGTATGTTTAATAAGAGAATTCGATATTTACATAATTCAATGATAATTATATTATGATGTATTTGCTTTGTTAATCATAGTATATTGTCCTTTACATTTGTCAATAATTTGAGAATATAAACTAGAAGAATTTAAAAGAAATAAAAAATTTATCTGAATTGGTTTTTTTTAATAAATAAAATACATTCCTAACATACAATCTAAAATTTAAGAAAAACAATTTTAGTTTTTTTTTTCAAAACACTACTCTACTCAGATATCTTATATGCAAGATCTTGAAATATTAGGATTGGTAGCAAGATTTTATCGAGGTCTTTAAAAGATAATTCGTTTATGTATATCTTGATCATATCAGATAAATCTGTATCTAACATCTTGGCAAGATCTGTTCAAAGATTTTCACATGTCAAGACCATAAAAAAGGATACTAATTTTTATTTTTTTTCCCAAGATCTTGACTAAAACAAAAAAGCAATATCATTAATTTATTTATATATTTTAAAATTCTTTAATCACTTGAAACTACTTTCCAAACCTCAATCATATAAACTTGTGAATCTCATAGATGTGCGAGAAATTAGCAACAGTCGGGGCACTTGCCAACCAATAAAATTAAAAGTATGCAGAATAAAGATGGAAGAAGAAATCATTCATGGAAAATTTGTAAAGTTTCAACAGAGTTTTTTTTAAACTAATCTGGTTTGTATTCATGGCAGCGTGGTGCTTAATAAGTAGATGGTTGATATTAGGATCATATACAAAATAATTTAAAATTCGAATATTTTAAAATCAATTTTTTTGGATAACGATAAAATAAAAGACCTTATAGATTTTAGTGTTAATCAAATCTCAAATTTAGATAGATTCTCTTACTTCTCTCTTCCTCTAGTGAATTTTCTAGAACATTATATAAAACAAAAATTCTAAAGTTATTCTTGTTTCTAGACTGTTACAAATTATTGTTTCAACTATTAGATAAAAATTTTTACATACACAAACATTGATTTAATGTCATCATCACCATTTGATGTCATTAAATAAAAATTTACGATCAAATAGCAATATAGCACTGATAAAAAATATCGTACGTTCTCTCGAAGATGACAAGCATGATGTCTAAGAACTAGTATTAAAAACACAGAAAGTGATCAGTTTAAAAGAATTCGACACAAATATTAGTAAAAGCAGTGGATAAAAAATTTTTTCGCTATAGTTTTTCTTTATTTAACCCTTTACCCCCCAATGGGTCATATATGACCCATTTGTAGACACGATCACAGAAAATAAAGAAAGTATGACAGTAAAAAACTCCCAAGACATGATTTGTAGGAAACTTCACAAGCTATCGATTAGTAAAAAAAATATTTTGTTTCATTGCTTTGCCTTCGAGATACATGACTTACAAAATCTACAATTTTGAAAAAAATGCAAAAATTCGAAATTTTATAAACAAAATGTTCTCTACTTGCAATCGATAGAGGTCTTTTGGAATTTCTGTGTGATATTAATCGATGAAGAAGTCCACTGCTGAATTAGATGTGTTTCGAAAGTTTCATGCTAACTCCACGAATTATGCATCCTACGGGACACAATTGACCATGTTGTCACTGTTAGACGCATGGAGGCTAATCAAGAACAAAGTTAATATGTGCGTTATAGACCTGAACTCATGAGAAGTCGAAATAGTATTTATGATGAATTAAATTCCTTCAGACGTTACAAGATGGCTCAAAGTAAAATAGGCTCAAATTTGACAATAGGTGAAAAAAAACATGTATTCTTTGATGTTAATTTTTATCGGTTCGCTCTTTGCGTTTTTCCTATCACTTCAACAGTACGAGATAGATGCTGCTTCTGTCCAGTCAATAAAGTGGTCAAAGAAAAAAAATTAAGCCTTATGATGTCGTTCAATTTCCATTTTCCACCACATGATTTTTACATCAATCAAACTGCCCTACTCCAGGAACAGGACATTCGGCGGATTAGGCCACATCATTGGCATATTCGACAGGCTAATACTCTATTTATAAAGTTATTTCATCAGTGGCTCTTCTGAAACTGCCGTGGGGGGGTAAAGGGTTAAATTGGAATACATAGACATACTTTGAACTTATAAAAATTGTTCATGTGAGTAATAAAATTTCTTGCACTAAATATTCAAATACATATTTCTCACTATTGAATATAGATTAAACAGCAGAATTTTAGCTGAAGATCTTTAAAGATATTAAATACGTAAATCTAAGATCTTATCACAGATCTTAGTACAAGATAATATCATGGTCTTGTACGTAAGTTTTCAAGATCTATTAACACCTCTGTACCTTGTATCTTGGCCACAATCTTGCTTACAAGATGTTCGACTAGGGTAATCATACAATGTACCCTAAAAGTTTTTTCGTTCCATTTAGTTATTGATTGGACTTCATTGGCTAATTTTTTTTGGATAATAGATAAATGCACAAAGATTTTATTTCTAAAGATAAATTTCAAAAGCGTTGTTGAAAGTTAAGATATTTAACCTGAAATACAAAAATTTAGCCTGTTTGTTCTTTCCGAAAATATTCATGGATGATATATGTTCTAATTACTTGAATTTCGATTTAGCACTATTTATTTTGTTTTTGTAAAGACATACCGAAAAAAATTCTGTAAAAAGATCGTTCCAGTATTGGGCAATTTAAAGATTCGAACTACTAAACAACTCAAAGTTATTAAAAAAGAAAACAGACCAAATTTTAGTATTTCGGCTAAATACCTTAACTTTTAACAATGCTTCTGAAATTTGTCTTTAGAAATAAAAACTCTGTGCATTTATCTATTATCCAAAATAAAAATTAGCCAATGAAATCCAGTCAAAAGTGAAATGAAACGAAAAACTTTTAAGAAGGGACTTCTAGGACACGCCGTATAAATGAAATATTGTCGTGCATTCGTTCATATTACTATCGAGAATCAATTGGTTATACTAGTAGAAGAAAGATAATTTTAAAAAAAAGATTTTAGGTAAGAAAAAGACAAGTGAACGAAGGAAAGCGAATAAAATAATCTTACTGTAGTATTCGTTTGAATTGCTACATGCATTTTTTTTTCATCAGATCATTTAAAACTGAAAGGATGTGGGTGTGGGTGTGGGGATATGTTTCTTATCACCCACACACCCAGACCCTTCATAAATGTCGCAGGTATATCATCAACTGCAATGATATCCATGGTTATTTATGTTTGTGATATTTACCCGCCCAAGATCAACGAGAGCATAAGTGTCAGTGTGGGTGTGGGGTGTGTGCGTGTGAGGGTATGGGTG